AGAAGATAGGTTTCCCTGTGGCCAGAAGATCAAACTGATTTCTCAGAGAAGCTACTAAGAGGTATATTCTTCATGTGGTATTTAATAAACCACAAAAAGAGGCTAAAGGGGCCTATGGGATGAGCAGAAGACAAATATAGTACAGGCAGAGCCAAAGATAAAAAAAAATTCTGGCCAGGCGGTGGTGGCGCACACCTTTAATTCCAGCACTTGGGAGGCAGAGGCAGGCGGATCTCTGTGAGTTTGAGGTCAGCCTGGTCTACAAAGTGAGTTCCAGGAAAGACGCAAAACTACACAGAGAAACCCTGTCTCAAAAAAACCAAAAAAAAAAAAAAAATCTGAAGTTGTAACCACTTGGTTTTGGTAACTATAGAACTATTGACAAGTAATCACTCTTAAATTTCTTCACTAGGGATGGCTAAACTGGACATGGCTTCTAGAAGCAAGAGGCTATGTTCCAAAATGACCCCAAAAATCTTTACATGAGAAAATCCAGTGCTAGTACTTAGCAGGAAATGGGTCCTGAAATCCCTATTTAAAAAGTGATTTCAGAAAGCTTAAAATTATGAATGTTCTCTTTGCACTTTGTCATGTAAGTCTATAATTGTGACCTTAAAACCCTGAGAAATACATCTTTGAAGTGCAAACAGTTAGAGCACTAGTCCAACTTTGTCTTCCAGGCTCTCTGGAATGGCAAAGGACTGGTTTTGGTTTATACCTTATTTCAATGTGTGTTACACTGCCATTTCATTACTGTCAAAAATCAACACAAACTTCTTTCAAATCCAGTGAGAATCTGTAACTGTGGAGGTAATGTATCTGAGTTCTTTCAGGCATAGGAAGGTGATCAAACAGCATTCTGGTGACTAAAAAAACTGTTATGAGACTCATGCAGTTTGATGGCAGATTATTCTTCAGTTATCTATGGCCTCCCGGCTTCTCTGTCATCTTATCCCAGTAGATCACAGAACAGATAAAGGTAAAGGCCAAATATTAAATCAAGTTAGCCACTTTTAAATGTTGCAACATAAATGTTTAAGCCCACTGAAGACAAAATTGGAGATAGAAGCTGTAAGCCACTTTTTCCCATGCCCCCTACTGGTGTGACTTTAGACAGATCTTCCAGCACCTATGCCAGCCACATGAGCCTCACTCGACAGTGGGTGCCTAGTCCTTTCATGACTTCTAATGGAAAAATGGTTTACATATGATATAACCTGCTCTGTGGTACTATTTCTGACTCCTTTTTTTTTTTTTTTCACTCTTAAAACACTGACAAGGAAGGAGCTGCTTGAAAGAACTGGATGGCCAAGCCAGGGCCCTAATAGGCTCCCCTAGCAGCCCTGGCATGGACCAGGCCTTAGTTTCAGTTCACTAGAATGGGCTGGAGCTGAGCAAGCAATTCTCAGGAAAACCACAACTTAGGGGCAACCGATCAACAGATGCCCCGCAGCCTCCTGCAGGCTCAGCAGGCGCCCCAGGCCCCTTCTGCTGGCTCAGCAGGACCCCCCCAGACTTCTGCTGGCTCAGCAAATGTCCCCCAGACTTCTGCTAGCTAAAGATAGCTTTCCCTACCCTCTCATCAACAAGCCCCTAGACACTAGACCCCACCACCACCACCAATGGGCCCCTAACTACTACAGCCTCCCACCAATCAACTCCCAGACTGATCTTTCTTCCACCAATCAGTACCAGATTAATCCCTCCTCTCTGGAATTCCCCTAATTCTGCTTAAAAGGAGCTTGCGACCCCCCCGCTTCGGGGTTGCTATTTGCCACCCTATCATGCTGGAAATAAATGCTCTTGCTAAATTGCATATGTGACTGTTGGTCTTTCTTGGGGGATTCTCTTGGATCCTAACACCACTGTTGGACTTAGCTTGGCCAGTTGGGTACATCCCACTGTGTACTAGTTTATCTTACCGCTAAGACCAAATATCTGATATGAAGAAACAAGGGGAGAAGAGTTTATTTTGGGTTACAATTGAGGGCTTATAATATGACTGGGAAGGTGTGGCAGCAGGATCTTGAGGTGGTTGTTTACATCAGGACCACAGTCAGGAAACAGAGAGTGGATAGGAAGTGGGGACAAGCTATAAAACTTCAAGGCCTGCCACCAGTGAGCTACTTTCTCTAGAAATATTTCATTTCCTGAAAGTTCCACAACCTTCTAAAACAGCACCACCTGCTGGGCAGCAAATGTTCAAACACATGGGTTTATGGAGGAGATCTTAGATTCAAGCCACAATGTTAGGGTTCTTAGACCTGGGGGCTGTTTCACTTCAACATAAATCACATATACTTGACCACATCCCCCAGGATGAGCATGGGCTTCTGCAATTTTGGAGGTTTAGAGTTTTAGAGTTTTGGGGCTTAGCCCTATGTGAAATGGCCTCATATCCTAGATCAGTGAACATGCACCTTGGCAAGGCTGCCTCCTGTGCTCACCTGGGAGGTGCTTGCCAGCAGCTGTAATATGTGAGAGGCTGCCATGGGGTGCACAGAATTGAACTAAATTACTAAACACTATTTTTCACTGCCTAGGGGAACGGCAGTGCAAGGCTCAAAGGGAATCCAAGGAGTTGACATACTATGAATTTTTTTCTGAGGGGGTTAGGGGAAATGACACTCACGCACTCTTTTGATATTTTCCCTCAGACCTTTTCTTTACTCTTCTTTTGCATTCTCTATTCCTTATTTTCCTGGTGATTTCCTTCCCTCAATCTTGATGTTTTCCTTCTAACCCTATCTTTATTCTTTCTTATTCTCTCACTTTTGTTTTCCTTCTAACTCTCTCTATATTCTTTCCCTTACACCTTATATGCCTCAGCAAAATCTTCCAGGCAATATAAAAATTACAATGTGGTTACATTCTATTTTTCAAGTGAATGATTACAATGAATACAAGTAAGAAACAGCATGTTTTCC